TTTTTTTTTTTTTTTTTTTTTAGAGTTAAGAATGATTTAGTTTTTGAAAACTATCTAGGCTATATTTACAGGCAAAAATGGGCTCATGGTTCTTCGATAAAACCTCTGCTTCAGGGTTAGGTTATATTATACCTGTTAAATGAGTAGAGAAAACAGTGGGGATTGAATGCTCAGGCCAAATGGAGAGGAAGATGGCATGTCTTTACTTCTATGGCCTTTTCTCTTTTTTAGTGTATTCTCTACCATGACCCCATGCTCTGAATTCCCTGCAAATTCAGAGGACCAGAGATCCTCTGTGCCAGCAGTGGGGAGAGCAGGATCCTGGACTGCTAGAAATGAAAGGCTCTGTAGTGCTTATCTAGATTTAGCTCTTGAAATGAGACTCAGGGAGGCTATCAATATTGAAGGGTTACTTTTTGGCAAGCACTGTAGTCAGGAGTCTATATACATTTCTCATTGAATTCTCATAAAGCTTCTACGTAGGTGGATGCTAGTCTTAGTACCATTTTACAGATATGGAAGCTGAGGCTTTGAGATCACACAGAGCTTGCCCTTGGCTATGTGAGTAAGTTTTGCTTTGGTTGGTACCACATTCCTACGTCATAATCAATACCAGCAAATGCTCCTGCTTCCTTTCTTGCAAGACTTGATGTCTTGTAGGGGACATGGGCTTGGGGAAGAAAAGATACAGATTTTAACTCCATCTGGAATGTCATTGAAAGTGCATCATACTCTGAGTTGGAAGATCTGGTTTGGGCATCTGATTAATCATATGTTCTCTATGAAATCTTGGTTAAGTTACTCTCTGTGCTTTAGTATTCTCATACGTAAAACTGAGGAGATTGGACTAGGTGACCTCTAAGGTTTTTTGAGCTTCAAAATTCTAGGATCCCATAATGAGTTAGCTGTTAATCTCTTGCCTAAAGACTTCCTGACCACTAATGCCTTGTGACACTGACCTCTGCCACCTTGGCCACCCCTGGCTGTTGTCTAGGTTGGAATCAAACAAGCAACTAAAATGTATATGTAAGATGTCAAAATATGTAAAGAAAACCAAAGCTATAAACCAGCCATTACTCTACATTTTTAATATGCATTAACATATTTATTGTTCAAAACAACCCCAGGAACAACCCCAAATCCAGGTATTATTATTATTATTATCATCTCTAGTTTATAGATGAGAAAATTAGGGTAAATAGCCCAAGTGATTTGTTCAGCTAGTAATTGGTAAAGTCAGTTTTCAAATCCAGGCTGTTTATTTCTATCACCTGCCCTCTGAGTCTCAATGGTATTCTGCTTCCCTGATATTTGTATGTATATGTGATATATATATTGATAAAGATTATAGTGTGTACTTATATGTATATGGTGATATGAAAATCATTACCATAAGGTAGAACTATGTCAACCCGTATACAACGATCTAGGTTGCATTAGGAATAAGTCTTTAGCCCTGGCTGGTGTGACTCAGTGGATTGGGCATTGTCCCATGCACAGAAAGGTTGCCGGCTCAATCCCGGTCAGGGCACATACCCAGGTTGTGGGCTCGATCCCCGGTAGGGGGGTGTGCAGGAGGCAGCCAATCGATGTTTTACTCTTACATTGATGTTTCTTTCTCTCTCTCCTTCTCCCTTCCTCTCTCTCTGAAAATCTATTTTAAAAAATCTTAAGAAAAGAACAAGCCTAAAAAAATAATAAAAATCTTGAGAAGGTTGAGGAGGGTAGAGACAGCTGGTGTGGCATCCTGGAGATGAGGGTTTGAGCTGGATGTGGGTGTGATGGAAATGAACCAACTCTGAAGGGGATAGTGGAGACCGGTTGGCAGAGCAGAAAGGAGTATGGATCCTGGATGAAGAGGGTGGCAGAAGCAACCCCCCAGAAGCTGATTTAGTAGGTTGTGTGCCAGGAACCTGGCACCTGGTATGTTTGGCTGGTATAGAAGCACATGGTGAGTGAACGAAGGGTGACAAGTTTGACAAAGAATGGCTTGTGAAGAGAAGCTGGGGGACATTTGAAGGAGACCTTTATTGTTTGGCTGAAGCACGTCCAGTCAAGAAAAAGATCATCCTAGGATTGATATAAAACAAGCTCCTGAGATGTTTTCCACCGTGTATCTTACACCCATGAGACTATACAAAGATTTTTCCTTAGGAACCTGAACTTATAAGTTCTAATTGATGCTGACAAATTAGTGGGCTGAATTTTTTTTTCTCAAATATCTTATGCTATTTTTATTTTCTTAAATTTTATTTATTATTTAATTGAATTTACTGAGGTGACATTGGTTAATAAAATTATATAGATTCAGGTATACAATTCTACAATACATCATCTGTATATTGTATTGTGTGTTTACTACCCCAATTCAAGTCTCAAATATTTTATTCTATTTTTAGATTCTGGTTTTCCACCCACTGAGAGCCCTCAGTCCACCCAGGGCTCCACAGCCCCTCAACACTCAACACCCACAAAAGGCCCCACAACCACCAAGGTGTCCCCAGTGTCTACTACACCAGAGCCTCCTCTATTTCAGAACTTCAGTGGCTACCACATTGGTGTTGGGCGAGCTGACTGCACAGGACAAGTAGCAGATATCAATATGGTAGGTAAATCATGGGCTCCTCAAAGAGGCTGAAATAAATAATTTTACTATTTTGAATCCTGTATTTATTCCTGATTATTATAGCATCATCTTCTTGCTTTTCTGTTGTTGACCTCACTGCTCTTGTAACACTATGAATATTGTCCTATAAGGAAGAGAGGACCATTTATTCAACCACAGCTCCCTTGTAAAGACAGTTGGCTGCTTTTCATGAAGTGGCAGGGCTGGGAAACTGAAATACTACAGCAGATGGGCAGGTTCTGTAACTGACTGAAGCAGGCAGATAGGATAATAAACATCTAGTGAATATCAATTGAGGGACAGTAGGAAGTTGCAGGGACTGTGGTGCCACTAGAAAGTGCATGATTCTAGCTAATTGTTGCCATATGAAAATGTAGACTCAAGGTTGCTAAATCTATCAATTTTTTCAAGAGAAACCAGGATATCTCTGGATTGAAAATCTGAGGATTTAACTTTCTCAGTTGGAAAATGTAGGCAATTCTAGTTAGTTAAAACTGGAAACCTAGCATGGGCCAACAGTGCATTAGCCATGTAAAATCTTTCAATGTGTTAGATGTGGCCTGTTGGCTGCTAGCATGCAACTTCCTGACTCTGATGGTTATAATACCATTTATATCAGCCATTCCCTAGGAAACCAGAGCATGAGGTTGTCTGGTGGGATTGTTTCCTTCCTACCAATAATGTTTCAAGGAATTAGATTCAAGGAATTACAGTTGACCCTAGAACAATACGGGGGTTAGGGTTGCCAACCCAGCACAGTGGAAAATTCATATATAACTTTTGACTTCCCCAAAACTTAACTACAGTTGGCCTTTCACATCCACAGATTCAATATACCGCAGATCGACAGTTAAGAATGTGAAAATACTGTTTTCGATCTGTGGTTGGTTGAATCCAAGGCTGTGAAACCCTGAAGGGCTGACTGTATTGAAAAAAATTCATGCATAAGTAGACGTGCACAGTCTAGACATATATTGTTCAAGAGTCACCTGTATTCCCTGTTTTTTCTGAAAACTGAATCTGGAAAGTAACCCTAAATAAACACCCACATGAGGGTAAAGCAAGCAGTAGAGGGAGCATTCTGGAGACCAGGGCAGACTTTAAGGGTAGGTTTTACGGCATGGTGAGAGAAGGGGCCGGGATATGTGTATTTGATCTGACTTGGCTCAGGGAGGGACAGTGGAAAAAGCCAGGGTTAGGTACCCTCAGTATGGATTACTTAATCGTAAAGAAACCATTTTCTTCAGGAAAAAACAAACAAACAAACAAATAAACAAACACACATCAACAACCAAAGTAAGGGAGCCTTCAATTTCAGGATGTTTCTGGGCACTGTGGATGGTGGGAAGGGAACCATTTCCTTGTCTAGTACCTTAGATAGGCAGGTGTCTTTTTTGAAACAGATAAACACAACAACAACAGAGAAGCTCCGAAAGGTCTCCAGGGCAGTCGAAAAATTCTGAGCCACACCAGCTCCTTCCACGCCCATAGGGCAGTGAATAGCTACTGAAGGGCTTATCACTACTTTGCCTTTACATTTTTCTACACAGAGGATTGAAGACTCTTTTATGATGTTGGCTTTATTCTTTTTAAAAATTTTTTATTGTTGACAGTATTACACATACCCCCATTTTCTCCCCCAGGGCCTCCCTGCACTACGGCCTGTGTCCATGGGCTGTGCATATAAGCATATAAGTTCTTTGGTGAATCTCTTCCTGTCCCCCACCCCCGCCTTTCCCTCTGAGATCCCTCAGTCTGTTCCATGCATCCATGCCTCTGGACCTATTTTGTTCATCAGTTTATTTTGTTCTTTAGATTCCACAAATAAGTGAGATCATGTGGTACTTGCCTTTCTCTCACTGGCTTATTTCACTCAGCGTAATACCCTCCAAGTCCCTCGATGTCTCAAAGGGTAAAGCTCTCTGTCCTGTGGCTTGCCTTCCTTTGTTTCCTAAGCAGCCGTTTCCTCCGTGGGTGAGTGTGTTCTCTGGTGTGTGGGTGGGTGGGTGAGACAGAGCAGCTCTGATTCTCTCTTCCCTTTCAGATGGGCTACGGGAAAAGTGGCCAGAATGCACGGGGCCTCCTCACCAGGCTGTACAGTCGTGCTTTCGTCATGGCCGAACCCGACGGGTCCAATCGAATGGCGTTTGTCAGCGTCGACATAGGCATGATATCCCAACGACTGAGGCTGGAGGTGAGTGACTGATGTGAAAAAGAAATGACGCGATGTTAAAGACAAGTCTGTGGACAATTGTGAGCATAGCTGAGCCCTCCTGGGTTTTCACCCAGTAAGTTCCTGCTACCCGCACGTTATAAGCTCTTGACAATCCAGCGGACAGTCGGGTGAGGAGTGGCCCACATTTTCCCATCCCAAATCATCTTGGTCAAAACCTGCTTTCAGTTCTGCTGATGGTGCATCGTCGTGATTAATGCTGATGTTTTTTGAAAGCTTATTACGTCCCAGGGGGACTTCATATACATTTCTCATTTAATCTTCCTTAATAGAAGTCTGAGGGTGTCAATTAATCAGTAACCCTCCCCTCAAGTTTCTAGACAGCTGAGAATAGATGTAAGTAACAAGGTGAGAATTAAAAATGCAACACTGAAGTGAGGCTGGGCTCTCTGAGGTCCGCTTGCATATTCATGAGTGAGAAAGGGGAGACACTGGAGTCCCCAGAACAGGGACCACTAAATGTCCGTTATTCAGTGTCGTGTTCTATCAGTCTAACCTTTTAAACACTTTGTTCCTCCACTGTATGAAGGGTCAGGTGAGAGGGGTGATGGGAGGGCCTAAGAGCATTTCTCCAAAGTCACTCCCTCTTCGGGAGTGGAAAGAAGCCTCTTCCATCTACGGAAACAGGGAGAGAGGGGATTAAGTATTTCCCCCACCCTTACACTTACTTCAAAAATGAGGTGGGTCTGCTGTTATTCCCATTTTATGGATAAGGAATCTAAGTCTTAAAGAGGGTAATTAACTTTTCCAAATTCACACAGTTGGGAAGTGGTAAAGCTTGGTTCTTAACACATACATACCTGATCCGAGAGCATATATTCTTTTTTTTTTTTAAAAAAAATATCTTTATTGATCTCAGAGAGAGGAAAGGAGAGGGAGAGAGAGAGATAGGAATATCAATGATGAGAGAGTCATTGATTGAGCCCGCAAGCCGGGCATGTGCCCTGACCGGGAATCGAACCCTGATCGCCTAGATCCTAGGTCGATGCTCAACCGCTGAGCCACGCCCGGCCGGGCCAGAGCATATATTCTTAAAAGTCACATTATTCTCTTACCTTAGAGGGAAAATGCATTGATAGCCTGCATGGAAACATACTGGGTGGAGGGTGGGATGTGGGCTACTTGGTCAGAGGGATTCGTCTGGTTGTATCACATTCCCTTTCCACGCTTGACTGGTGTCCCAAGATTGCTTCTGTGGACCTCGTAACCTGGCAACTGGTGTTTGGGGCATGGAGAGGTTAATGAGGCAAGGTGGTTTGTAAGATCTTCCTGCTTCAATGTTCACATGACTAGAACGAGGGTGGTGTATCTCTTCATCCAAAATAGAAGAGACTGAATGGATGCCTTTAGGTATGTTAAGTATATGGCACACTCATTGCTGCTACTCCCTCATGTTCCAGTGAGAACAGATTGTTAAATATCCAGGAATTTTGTGAACTGCTGGCGAAACTTTTGGTAGCTCGAAGTTGACTATGGTGGGAGTATTTATACCATACAAATTGGCAAACAATACAAAGGAGGGCTTTTTTTTTTTCTTCTTTCGAAGAGACAGCTTATCAGTATACCACTGACAATGCGATACTCGAGACAGGCATCAGAAAAGGCACTCCTTTTTTGATAAACCCAGATTTGGATTCAGAATCCTCCTCAACACACGGCTTCTGACAGTAACCACAGATAAACAGGACTGAGTGCATGGGATGAGCAGCATTTGCCATCTCTGCTATAAACAAGCTTCTGTAATTGTCCCTGGTATTAGGTGATAGCATCTTACATTGAGGAAGGTCGCTTTGGGTTTGACACTTTCACTATTTTTAATTTTTGACATAAAAAAAATTAAAGTATCTTTCACAAAGAAACCACAAGAATACCAAACTTTAGATTGATGTGGATTAAAGCATAATCAGAAATAGGTACTTAGCAACATCACTAATTTTCTCCCTGTTGTGGTTTTTTTTCATGTGTATGTACCATACAAAGACACTAATCATGCATTTGGATGTTCATTAATCAATTAACTTAATGAACATTCCCTGAGTCTCTTTGTTATCAGTCATGTATTGCTGTACAAAGAGTTATCTGGAAAACTCAGTTTAAAGCAGGAATAGTCATGTATCATTGTTCAGGACTTCTGCCAGTCAGGAAAAGCAGAGAGGCTGGCATGGGTGATTCTGACGTAAGTTACAACAGAGGTCACCTATTATCACTTCTGTGTCATGAGGTTAAACTCACGGCAGCTGTTTGAAGGCTTGACAGTGGTTGAAGGGTCTTCTTCTAAGGTTGCTCACCCAAATGGCTAGCAAGTTAGTGCTGACAAGATGGTTCCTCTCCACATGGACTTCTCCACAGGATTTCTGGGGTATCATTAGGTTATAGTGTTGACTTCCCCCAGACCAATAAGTACATTGGTCAGTGTTGGGGAATATGAGCTCTCCTTTTGGGAAGCGACACAGTACAGTAAAGAGGACTTCGCACTGTCTATTTACTGCTCCCACAGTGCTTTTCCCCCAGGTATTACATGACCAGATTGCCCTCTTCACTTAAGGCTCTGATGAAGGGTAACCTCTTTGGAAAGGTCTTTCCTCACTAATACCCACTATCTTCTTTTTCCTTACCCAGAGCTATTTTGCTTCATAGCATGATAAGTGATAAGCTATATAATATTGCATATTTATTTTATTCTTTATTATCTTTCTCTCTTATTAGAATAAAAACTTCTTCAGAGTTGGAACCTCATATATTCCTAGTGTTTAGAACAGTGCCTGGGTATTAATGGTATGTGTGGAAAGATGAATGGGTAAGAGAGACTCTACAGTTAGAGAGACTTGGATCTGGATTCAGGCTCTGCTATTTATTAGATCAGTGGGCAAATTATTTAACTTCTGTACACTTTGATGTTATCAGCTAGAAGACAGGGTTAAACGTACATACCTCTTGAGGTTATTGTAATTTTAAAATGACATAATGTATGTAATACCTAGCATTGTGTGTGCTTGCACATAGCAAGAATCTATAAAATGTTAGCTATTGTTATTACTGTTGTTGTTACTTCCACGATGATGTACTGAAGCTGTATATACAATATAAACTATTTATGTCCCGTAGCTGTACTGTGGTGATATGTAGAGTGAAGGGCCACTTGACAGGGGAGTCACTGGTCTGGATGAGTGATTGGACTAATTAGGGCCTTTTCTCATGCTAAGCGCCTGAGTTCTCTCTCTTCTTAGTTCTGTTTTGTTGTGGTTTTTTTTTTGAAGGTTCTGAACAGACTGAAAAGTAAATATGGCTCCCTGTACAGAAGAGACAATGTGATCCTGAGTGGCACTCACACGCACTCGGCTCCAGCAGGATATTTCCAGTACACCGTGTTTGTAATTGCCAGTGAAGGATTCAGCAATCGAACTTTCAATTACATGGTCACAGGCATCGTGAAGGTAGGCAGAGAACCCCAGAGGGAGCTGTTCTTCCCATGGCTCACAGTGTTTTAGGAGTGTGCTGTGGAGACAGTCCCTGTAGGATCTTGGTCTGAGCACAGTCTTAGCACCTCCCTCCTTTCCCCCTTCCTAACCCCTGGCACTGATTGGGAGAGGAGGATTCTATGGCAGTAACCCTCATATAGTCATCTAAAGAGACAGAAGACAATTTGTATGTGACCCTTACAAATTATAGGGCCCCACATGGCTTGTTCTTGCACAAAGTCACATGGAAAGACATCGACCCATCAAGGAACCAACAGTAATTACAAATAATTCCAATCATTCCTTGTATTGCCCAATATTTCCTTGTGTTTCCCAAGGAGTATAAAGGAGATTCAATGGATACATTTCTCACTTCTCAAGTCCTCTACAATAGCTTTAGACTGACATGGTTCTCCTACCAGTACCCCCACACTTTCCTCCCACTCATGGTTTGGGTACCTTTTTTTTCCTTTCTTTTTTTTTTTTTAACTCCTCTCTCTCCTATCTTCCAGCTTATAATTTTCTTCCACAGGGTCTTTGCTAATGTTTCTTTCTTCATTCCTTTGCCTTTCAGGTTTAGTCTCTCTCTGTCTTGTCATCCCCACCCCCAAATCCAGAGATCCAGTTGGCAAAGTCAGACATTTCTTTGCAACACTGTTTTTCAGATGGTCGCTAGCAATCTACAAATGGCTTTATGAAATCAATTTCATGGGTTGCAAAAAGCATGACAAAAAAGGCCTAAAATAAAAAAGTTGGAAAACATCATAGTGCCTAATATACATTGTGAACTTTGTTTTAGGACATATATGTTGATGTGCATTAAATTATGATGGAAACCGTATTGCTTACTGTGCTTCTCAAAGTTTGAAAAACTGTCTTAGAGTGTGGTGGGATGGAGACGGGGTTGAGGGTGGAAATACTGACATGTTGACGAATCCTGTCCTGATGTTATAGGGGTCTAGTCTCCCGTTTGCGCCCCCTGAGCTGGCGGACATGCTGAGTCAGCAGTCAGGGGCTGGCTGGCGTGTGCTTCTCTGGACACAGCACTTTTTCTGTCTCAGCCCTGAAGGCCATGCTTGTTTATCTCCAGCCACCCCAGCCGAGTGGCTCCCAGCTTTCATCCACAGTGGGAACAGGTTGGAGACCCAGGAAATTGTCCTTGGGCCTCTTCTGTTTATATTGACTGAGTCATCATTCCCAACAGGATTTCTAACTTTACAAATCTTTTTTTTTTTAAACCCACAGAGCATTGAGATAGCACACAAAAATATGAAACCAGGAAAAATCTTTATCAATAAAGGAAATGTGGAGGGTGCACAAATCAACCGAAGCCCTTTTTCTTACCTTCAGAATCCACTGTCAGAGAGAATAAGGTGAGGAGGGTAATGGTCAAAGTGAAATCGCGTGCTTCCTGTAGAAGATGGTAACAAAATCTAAGAGCAAGGTTGTTACTTGACGAATGTGGTGGGATCCTAAAAAAGTATTAGAGCGATAATAATTTCAAAGCATGTTTATAATCTAAGATGAGCAGAAATAAAAGGTAAACATAGAAATGCACACCAACCTTCGCACGTGTCTTCCCGCTGTGGGAGGCAGTGTGAGGGTTTGAAGGGCTCCAGGCTGTGGAATCCGACAGACCTGTGGGCTCATCTTAGCTTTGTCACTTCTTACTTGAGTGACCTTTAGGACATATATGGTGAGGATGATAAGTGATTTTCTTATCTTAATTTATGGGCTCTCACTTTCTTGATCTGTAAAGTGGAGATAAAAATGTTCGTAACAAGTATTTGTTAAATTAATGAGTAGCTCTTTTGATTATGTTATTCAGAAGAAATCATCTTAGCTCAAGAGAATGTGGCAAGAGAGAGGAGATAACTGAATAAAAATACTGGAAGAACAAGAAATAAAACTAGAATAATTAAATGGAGTGACTAAGGGAGATGATTACTTGGTCTTTTTTTTTTTTTTTTTAAGTGATGAGTCAGGTTTGCAACGGAAGAGGTGTAGTTGGCTACTGCGGCAATGTAAAATACTCTCTCATTCAACCTGACCACTTGACATTTTACACTTGCCTGCATATTTTTCAATAGCTTTCAAAAGAGTTGATTTTTTAGAAAATAGAATCTGCTGTCCCTTGGAAGAACATAAAAACATTTTAAGTCACAGGTGCTGAATGCTTTTGATTTTACATGTTTCCTGCTATTTTTAAGAGGGCCCATTAAAATGTGATATGAATAGGAATTTCAAAGGGAAATCCTTTTTGTAAGAAATACATGTTATGTGATATTGAGTATATTACATAAAAATGTGTATTTCATCTCCAGCTAGCCAACCTAGTGCCCCCAGCCCTGGTCACAGCTGCAAACCGTTTCTCTGGCTGAGGCCTGAGGTCCTGAGTGCAGTCCCCGGGCCTACAGTATGGCCGGGAGCCCCGCTCACTGGGAGGCCTGTTGGTTTTGTTTCTGTGCCAGCTTCTGCTGTTCATCACACATGGTGCCCAGGTTCCAACATAAAACTGACTGCATTTCTTTGCTTTGGCGACTAGGTATTCTTCCAATACGGACAAGGAAATGGTAGTCTTGAAAATGGTAGATTTGAATGGAGACGACCTGGGCCTTATCAGGTACTCTGTTTACTTCTTTTTTCTTTTTTTAAAAATTCTGTCTGGATAACTTTCCTTAATTACAAGGGTGAGGGTGGGGAAGAGACTGGAATGGTGGCAGTAGGGGCTGAGAGTAAGTTGAGTGGTTAAGAGTCCAGACTCGGGAATCGGGCACATCTGAGGTCCAGCTGTGGGCTCTGTGGCAAGGTTCTCAGCCTCTCAGGTTTAGCTTTTCACCTGTAAAACAGGGCTAGTGAAAGGGTTATATAAATGAGGGATCTGGGTGAAGAAGTCAGCACAGCATCTGGCATTTGATATACTCAGTAAATGTTAGTGCATAAGACTGTATCAAGATCCTATATAGGGGACATCTGTAATATTGTCAACAATAAATATATATATTTAAATTTAAAAAATTTTTTGGAAAGATCTGATTCATGAAACTTCTATGATGGTAGACAATTATCTCTCGGTAAAATGCAAAAAACAATCTGACCAACCAGGCAAATGAATATGGATTTGAGATTATTTACTGTGTTTTCCTAAAAGGCTTGAGTGAATTTTAATGTAGGATGATGCTAATTAGTGATGAAAGCAGAGCTGAGACCACTTAAAGGAAGCAGGTGATGTACAATTATAGCTTGGCACCGATTTTAGCACCTTTTTATGTACAAGAAAACCTGGGGATTTTGTTTTCTCCGAAAAGGCATTCCCATTCACAGGTGATTTTGGTCACTGCAATTGGACTGACTCAGGGTAGGTAACAGCGCCAGATACTTGACGTGTGGACTTTTAAGTGATGCAGAAATGCCCTAGGAGAGTGTATGTTAACGCTGGGGTGCTAGAGGCAAATGGCTTGGGTTCACTCTGAACTTCTTAGCTCTGTTACTTAGGCCAAGTTATGTAACTGCTGTGTGTCTCAGTTTTCTTATCTCTAAAATTGAGGGGTAAAGTGAGTCCTTAAAAATGTTGATAATAAGTGTTAGTAAAGGTGGTGAGGTTCTGCCAGGTAGAATTATGAAATATTTAAGTGAAAGTTTCTATGTGAGTAAAATGAACAATAATTAAAAGTAATAAGGGGTGAAGAGAAACGTTGAAGACTATGACCCACAAGTCACATACCAGGGTTGGCTCTCTAACTAGGTAGGGAGCAGCATGGTGGTAAGTAGGTCAGGTTTTAGGTTAGATTTTAAGACTTGGGTTCAAATCCCTGTGGCCTGGGGAAAGTAACTTATTTACTTACACCTCAACTCTTCTATTTGAAAATGGGAATATTAATAACTCATAGGGTTGTTTGAAGATTAAATGAGATAATGCATGCAAAGCTCCAGTTTTGTGCCTGACACAGAAAAAAGTTCAACCCTAGCTGATTTGGCTCAGTGGATAGAGCGTCGGCCCTCAGACTGAAGGGTCCTGGGTTTGATTCTGGCCAAGGGCATGTACCTTTGTTGCAGGCTCAATCAGGCAACCAATTGATGTGTCTCTCTCACATTGATGCCCTCCCTTCTCTCCCTTCCACTCTCTCTGAAAAAGCAATGGAAAAAAATATCCTCAGGTGAGGATTAAAAAGAAAAAAAAGTAAAATAATTTTAGCTAAGAGGTAAGAAATAGAATAACAATCTACCTCTTCTAAAAGCTTCATTATTGGCATGTTAGCGTGCTTGGAACTCTTAGCATTGGGGTTACTTCTTTGGGTTTAAAGTGAGGACACTAACAACTCCCATAAACTTTATTATATGGATCAACATAATATGACTCATTCTCTTGTTACAATAAACCTATCTACTGATTAGTTGCTACCTAGCATTTAACTCCACAGACTTGCTAAGTGTCAGGTACACACTTGTGTGTTTGGGGTATGTCATGATGAACAAGTCATGGTCCCTCTCTATCTTCAGGGGTCTCACAGGCTAGTTGGGTGATTGGGACAGGAGGCAGATATAACTTTGCATTGTTTCTATAGCCTCCGTGTTATCTTTGGTGTAATTGCTCCTTCAATTGCCTCTCATTGCATAGTGAAAGTTGCTCTTTGAGTGCATTGAAAATAATCCAAAACATAAAGTCAAATTTGGGCTGCTAAGGAACTCAACAAACATGTAGGTGTCTGCTGTTAGAATCCAAAGTATGAGGAATTTGGAAGCACAGAATCTCAGATTTGCAGACAGCAGAGATAATCAAGTTCAAACTTCAGCTGAGGCCCAGAAAGGTGATGTGACCTGCCCAATGTGACAGCCAAAACTATTTTCTTCACACTGAAAACAATATTTAAATTCATAATTTATTCCTCCTACTTTCATTTTTGTTTCCATTGTTCATTTAACAAGTCTGCACTAGGCACCTGCTATGTGCCATGCAACACTTCCCAGTTCTTATAAAGATGCATTTCCTGGCTTGAAATCAGAAATCAGATACCTTGGAATCACCTTGGAATCAAATACCTGTGTTCTGTGCTCCTTGAGCAAATCCCTTAAACTCTATGAGATTCAATTTCTACATTTATCAAATGTAGATTTAACATCTTCTCTTTACACAGAAATTATTCATTCATTCATTCATTCACTATTAGAGAATATATGTGTCACGAGCTGAGCTACTACTATAGATACACTGATAAGGAAAAATAGATGTAGTTGCTGCCTTTTATAGGACTTACAGTCAACTGATAGAGGCAAAAGGATTTCAAATAGTCATACAAAAATATGTGTAATTATAATTGGGTTAAATGCTAGGAAAGAAAGGCTGGTAGAGCTATCTTAAAGAGATTTGACCTGGTCAGGGAGACTGGGAAAGACTTCCCCGAGAAAGTGACAATAGAGCTGAAAACTAAAGGAAGGGGAGGAATTAACTGGCAAAATGGAATGGAAAAGAACTTTTAACACAGATGGACACGCATGGGCAAAAGTCCTGTGGTCCATTTTGAGGAACTGATAAAAGGTTTGCATGGTTGAAGTGCAAAGGATATTGTGAGATAAAGTTAGAGGTAGAGATTAGATACCATGATAAATATTTTGGTCTTTATAATTGAGGGGAATGGAAAATCACTAAAGTGTTTTAAGAGGGGTTTGGGAGTTGAGGGCTCTTGAAAGGTTAGGAAGAAGGGTGATGACTCGAGGAATGAAATAGGATTATGTGCATGAAACTATTCCATAGATCCTGAAATCCTCTACAAATTCGAGGCCACTATTTGCTCCAGTTGATCTAAGGGAAATATTTTTATCTTTTTGCCTGATACTGCCTTATGCAGAAACAGTAAATGATTGAGAACGGGTTTGGAATGTTTTGAATTCTGAATTAAAATAAGCTGTGTGGCATTTACAAAATTCACTTGGAGAGACTCTGGAAGGCACCATAAAGAGTGAGTCTGTCATCCAGTGGAGAAGACGGAACTGAGTCTTGAGATCTCCTGATGTAGTAAGACACCATGTGTGTGAAGAAACTGTGACAGGAGAAAACAGAGAGGTTTCAAATGTCTGCATCCAAAGGAAAGTCATAAGGGCAGCTGATCAGCATGGCTGATTCAAGCAGTCACCCTCGTGCAGGTGGCTCTGGCAGAGGCTCATTTCCTCAATATGGTGCAACGACAGGCTTTGTCTCACTTCTGTTTCTTCACCTCTGCCAAGTTGTCTTCCTTGAGTTTGCAGGCGTGGCATGGACTCTTCCCCTGCCCCCCAGCCCCTGTGGGCCCTCTAGCAGTTGGCATGACGCGGCCTCTCTTCGCTGGAGCTGTAAGGAAGGTCTGCGCAGGTGTTTGGCCAACTGCTCCACTGGCTTCTGTTTTATACACTGGGAATCCTTTCATTCTTACAGAAAGGGTCATGTAAGGGGGCCCTTTTCAAGGCGCATTTTAAAAAACAACAGGGACAGTGATTTGTGTAACCTGCTTGGGTAATTTGTGTACCCACTTAGAAAAATTCAACTTATGAAGTTACACTAATTTATTTGAATGATATTGGCTTACAGAACTCAGTCGCAGGGAGTGTGTGTGTGTGTGTGTGTGTGTGTGTGTGTGTGTGTGTGTGTGTGTGAAGCTTCTCTATCATCCAAGACTATGACTTCCTGACTTACAATGTCCCACTGTCGATTCCCTGTGGCTTCCTATTCTTCCCTCTACATTCTGCCCTCAGTCTACTTACCCCACTCAGAGGGCAAATGGGGAAAACTCCGTGGCTGCCTTTCACCAACCATTCTTGACCCCTTTTCTTGTCTCCGTCTCATTTTGCCTTTGTCTTTAGCATTCTCCGTTAGCACTGGCTGGTTTATGAAGCCCTGGTCTCTATTCACGTCCTTCACTGGCTTTCTGTCTCCTGGGCTGACCCAGGTCTAGGTCAGTGAGCGGGAGCAGGGCTGGGCTTCAGCTTCCCCTTACCTGCTCTGTCAGCCACCTTTCTGCGTGTGGGAGGGACATGCTGGCCCAGGTCTGGGCAAATGGAACCTAGGCCAAGTTTGTTACTATTTTAGAAATATTTAAGAAGCTTGATTTTTTACATTTGGCTTTTTCCCCCTTTTTTCCAGTTTCAAAGTAGGAAGCACACAAAGTCCAAATTGAAAGAGGCCCTAGAAACCTTTTGCTCCAAATGCCTCACTTATATTGGAGGAGAAAATAATTATAATATTCTATATTAGTTTTCTGTTTATTGATTCAAAAGCATAGTTAAAATGTATTATTTTTCAGTCTTAGGAAACAGAGATCCAGAAATGTTAACTAACTTTGCTACCACCTAGGATAAAATCTCAACCCTCTTGTGTCTCCCCAGTACCTTGATTGTGTCAGGCTGAACAAAGTTGAGCCCTGCTTCCTCTTGCACATCCCAGCTATGACATAATCATCATTTTAAAATGTTTATGAACTGGGACATATTCATTCTTTTCTGTCTGTAGTCTAATTTCTTTTGAAACTACCTAAACCTTTCTTCCTCTCTTTTGAACTTTGCTTTGATGAATATATTTCTGACCAGATAAAACAGGCTGTGAGCACAGCCTTCTTAATTTAAAATGGCCACCTTTGTTCCTATCTTAATATGTATTCATCTGTTACCATAGTCCTTTGGTTGCTGTAACAAGTCTGATATTTTAATAACATATTTCAAATGGCAGAGGAGGAAAAATAAAGCACCTTCTTATTCTGAAATTTAAATAACTTTTTTGAATACTTACTTTTCTATGTTGTAGAGAAAGAGTTCAATTAGTTTTCTAAGGCCTAAAAGAAATGAAAATAACTCAATGAAATAAATAAAAATTCAAGTTTGTAGTCTAGTTAGTAGACCAAAATTCTTAGCCTTTGCTTCCTTCACAGATATTATTGGGATTTCACAGCTGATTCATCTCTATGTTCCTTGGGGTTTCACGCAATGCCCACCACACACTTGGCTACCAATAAGTTCATGTTGATTGAATGAATGGCACAGCCACCATCTCTCTTTGCTCTTAAGCATTCTGCTCCAGCCACTGTGACTGTCCATCATCTGGACACACTGCCCCTCAGCCCATCTGTATGCCTTTGCAATGAATGACTTTTCTTTAGTGATCCCCCTGCCAGGTTTCTACTCATCTTTGAAGACCCAGCTCAAATGTCACACCCTCCCTGAAGCATTTCTTAAGGGCAAGATGATGCCTCAGTCATCATCCATCATCCATCATCTGCGTCCACGGCATCTGGCAAGAGCCAAAGTTATGAAATGTCTATTGAATGAGAAAGTGAATGAACAAAGGGACTAAGCCATTATCCCAGAGCAGATAAGAACATGGGCTTTATGGTCTGATGAACCTGGATTCATATCCTGCAGCTTGACTTGCACCTGGGTGACCTTGGTCAGGTTACGTCACCACTCTGAGACTTCTTTTCCTTGATTGTCAAATGAGGATAATGATAGCATCTGACTCCACGGGTTATTGTGGGAGTAACATGAGACTGTTTGGAAAATCCTGCACCTCACGAGTGCTGAATGGTAGTCAACGTTGATAGAATTGTTCTACGGTTTTCCTTGATTTCACGGGAAGGGCTGTGGTCTGGCTCAACCTGGCCAGCCTTCGTGCAATCATATTAGGCAGAAATATTTTGGTTGGGGAGCCATGGAATTGTCATGGCCACCACCCCATTTTTAAGTGGAATAAAACAAAAAGTGGACTCCAGCTAATTGGAAAACACTATTTGAGTAGAATTCCCCTGGCACCTAAGTTTTAGGAGAAAAAGACAAGCCACAAAACAGAAACTAATTTAAGGGTTTTTTAAAATATAGAAACCTTGCAAGTAAGTTCTAGGGAATGACCTCAGAGCTGCTTTCAGCCTAAACCTCTGTCCCTTTGCACAGTGGAGAGCGTATACCTTGGGGACTGAATTCAGTCCCAGGCAGGTGATTTGGCCTTACACTGTTAAAAAAAACTGAAATGATTCAAATATATACCAATTTACAGTGATTAGTCTAATAAATTTCCACATAACCATTATTCAGCTCAATAATTAGCGATATTCTGCCATTCTGTTTCATTCTTCTGCTCCTTTTCATTTGTGTGTTTTGCTATAATATTTAAAAGCAAATATGTATAAGTTTACTTTTAATGAATGTCAAATTATGGAAGGCTTACTGCAAGGGGAAATGTATTAATAATATAATACATACATTTAGTAATGGCTGGCTGGCATGGTTCAGTGGTTGACCATCGACCTATGAACCAGGAGGTCAAGGGTCAATTCCGTCAGGGCACATGCCTGGGTTGCAAGCTCGATCCCCAGTAGGGGGCTTGCAGGAGGCAGCCAATCAATGACTCTCATCATTGATGTTTCTATTTCTCTCTCCCTTTCCCTCTCCATTCCTCTCTCTGAAATCAATAAAAATATACCAAAAAAATCTTCCTGCAAATGTAGGATTAACTACAAAGCAAAAAAACCCCCGAAACAAATGTCAGATATCATGTCATTTTACTCATAAATATTTCAGTATCTATCAGATAAACACTTTAAAAATGTAATTACAATCTGTTATTATAACCAACAAAATTAAAATTAATTTCTTAATATGATCTAAAACCCAGCCTGTGTTCAGTTTTCCCTGATTGCATCAATAAAGTCTTTTACAGTCATTTTGTTTGAATCGGAATCCAAGCATAGTTCACAAACGCTATTTGTTGGTTATGACTCCTAAGTCTCTTAATTTGTAACAGTTGCCCTCCTTTGTTTCCATGCCATTTATTTCTGCAAGCATTTTTAGATAGATAACTATTTCAAAAAAACGGGGTTTGTAGTTTTTCTTGAAAAAAAAATGGGAAGATCTAGCAGCCGTGGCTTGCACCCCCATACGGCAGCATTTGGCTGCGGCACAGCAGAGACTGCAGCCTTTAGCCAGTGCAAGTGCCTGCAGATCCCCACAGTCCTCACCGGCCCCTATTGCAGCAACCAGCTTACCTCATTCATGTCGCCTACCCAGCCCCCGTGGGCGTTGTGCTGGCCACCTCTGACCTACATATACATCTGTTGGCCAATGAGAACTGAATCCTGAGCAATGACCTTGAAGTCCAAAACATCCCCAGTCATTATGTAAATGTTCAGTTTTGTGCACTGTATCACTTAGGTAGGAATGTAAGCTAAAATGTTTAAAAAGTTTTCAGAGAGGAAATAAATCAAAAAGATTCTTTTTAAAACATCCTAAATTAGCCTAAAGCTTTATGAATTGGCATGTCTCTTTTCTTGATCATTCTAGCTAATCTGTTTACAGCTTTTCATTCTGTAAATATCTTTTGCACCTGGATGGAGGTTTGACCCTACAAAGGCCACTGGACAAGGTGTCACAAGACCCAAACTTGAGCCTTGCACCTCTATGACAAGTGGGCCACCGTTTTGCTTCTCTGAGACACCTTGCAGAGTGGAGGTATCAACAGCCTGTCTCTCAGGGTTGTTGTGAAGTTCAAATAAAGTAACAGATGTGACTTTAATTTATAAACTGTATAGCTCTACACTAAAGCTATTACTGTGCACAAGGCTCTATTGAATTATGCATAACAACCTCTTTCATACCTCCATGCAGTTACTCTGCTGTTTTCTCTCCCTGGAATGACCTTAAGAATTAATTGCTAGTCATCTATGGTCCCCAAACACTTTGTAACCTTTGTCACACTGTATTAAAGCCATTTTCTCACACCCTTGTCTTCTGTAAGATTCTGAAAGTAAACTGCTGTTTATTTAGTGCTTGGCACACAGCAGACTGTCGGTAAGTGTCTTTTGAATTAGACTGGATTGATTTGAATAATTATTATATGTGTGCCTGTCTTGAAGGACAAAGTCTGTCTATGCAGTTCTTCAGGTATATCACCTGATAACTGACCAGCCTTGGCTCTTGTTAAAAGCTCACAATGAAGAAGATGATGATGAAATATTCATAAAAATAGATTTGTATTTTTAACTTAAGTAAATGATTGGACTTCTTAAGTATATTATTAGTAATTTAAGCTCATTAACAATAAAAGAACCTAAGTGTGGAATGCCTGTCATTAAATTTTTTTTCTGCTGGGGAATGCCTGTCGTTAAATGTTTGTAATGTGGAATACCCATCATTAACATTTTTATTTTTTTTCTGCTAGGGAGAGCTTAGGCTCCCAGTCATCATTTTTGGCTTCGGTTACCTGACTTTCTTCATTAACTTAGGGCTTCTTGCTTTGTTACAGCTGGTTTGCCATCCACCCAGTCAGCATGAACAACAGCAATCATCTTGTAAATAGTGACAATATGGGCTATGCATCTTACCTTTTTGAGCAAGAGAAGAACAAAGGATACTTGCCTGGGCAGGTGAGAATTTATGTTACTGAAAGCTTCATCTTAATTCATTGAGCATTATCACTCATTCAATGTTCAGGATAGCTGATTCATGCTTTCAGGGTAAGTGTCATTATGGACATCACATACTGACATACTTGGATAAAAAGAATTTTCCATCTTCCCTAGTAGGGAAAGAAAAATTCAAAACCACCAATAAACTTTGTGTCAAACACTACTTATATTGATGGCCTCATAAGTTACAATTAGTTGGAAAAAGAAGGGCAAGTTCAAGATTTTTGTAATATATAATAGTCTTTTATCAACTTGGAAACATGATAAACTGTATGGATGTTTACTTTTATTTTCAGAGTTATAAAAGTATTAAGCATCTCCTTAATGGTGTGAGAACCTGAATGAGGGCAGGTGATGAGCTCTTTTCACTGGTCCAGACTTTCCTTTTAATGGTGAATTTCCTTTCCAGGACTTTGTTCTACTTTCCTGTAATAAGGCCTAAATTAGAGACAACTCTAATCCATCAGATTTGTTTGTAACTTTGAAACACAGGAAGTGACAGGGTCAGAGATGGGGGCCAGGAACCCAGTCCATGCGCTCCAGGAAGCTGCTCAGATCTGTATGAAATGAAGACTATATAGACAGAAAAGCGGGAGGAGGGACCGTGCTATGCGTGCCACCGGCATCTAAGGCAGAAGAATACATGATGATGGGATGTAAACTCCAGGCCCTTAACTAGAATAATGCACTGTTATAAAGATATTGACCCCATGAGCATTTGGTCTGATCTTTTAGTTCTTTTGTTGACAAAACTGTATTTTTTTCATTTTAGCCTGTGTTTTAAGGAAAAAAGGCTCATTTATGATCATTGGCTGGGTTCTAGGCACTTTGAAATAAATTGTCTTTTTAGCATCACGATCTCCGATACTTGCTTATCTCTTTTTCTAAGAAAATTTAAGACATTTAAGATGGAATGGTATAAACAAAATAGAAACAGACTCATAGATACAGAAAGCAGACTGACAGCTGTTAGAGGGGCGGGGGGTTAAGAGGCTGGGAAAAAAAGGGAAGTGATTAAACAAAAACAAAAAACACAACGAAACTCATAGACACAGACAACAGCATGATTACCAGAGGGAAAGGGGGTGGGGAGGTAGGAGAGGGTAAAGGAGAGGTCACTGGTGACAGAAGGAGACTTAACTGTGTGTGGTGAACACACAATATAATATGCAGATAATATATTGTAGAATTATACACTCGAAACCTATATAATTTCATTAACCAATGTTACCCCAATACATTCAATGAAAAAAAAAATTAAAGTCACTTGGAATATTTCGAACCAATAAATAAATAAATAAATAATAACAAGACAGAGTGGTAGACCAGTGGGTTGAGGTTAATACCTTGCACCATTACAAAAGGTTAAGTGTTGTTACTTCAGGTTGAAGAGAGAGGCAAAAGATGCCTGGAAGCAAAAGTCTGGATGGTGGATGCTATATTTAGGTTCAGTTTTGCAACAGGAAAATCTGGATTGGCTCTTCTTTTTTTAAGGCAATAAGATATTTATTCATTTTATTTATTTTTAAAAAAAATTTATTTATTGATTTTAGAGAGAGAGAGAGAGGAAGGGAGAGAGAGAGAGAGAGAGAGAGAGAGGAATCGATTTGTTGTTCCACTTATGAATTTATTGGTTGGTTCTTGTATGTGCCCTGACTGGGTGGGGATCGAACCCACAAGCTTGGCATATTGGGTCCACACTAACCAACTGAGCTACCGGCCAGGGCAGAATATTTATTGTTAAATGGCAAATGCATCTTGGGGCTCTAGGTACAATACCAAAGACTAGATTGATGTTTCAGCATTTTGTAATTTGTTGTTGTACACCCTGTTTCTTGTTAAAATGTTTCTGTTTGAGGCACAAATTTGAAACTGTCCTGCTTGAAACAGCTCTATTGATCATTGGACTATCATGAGTAGTAATATGTACATGGACTGCACTGTGAGCCTTTTTGGATGTAAAACATTTTCTAAGAATATTGTATGTACATCCCTTCTTTTTACTGTGTGCAAATGATTTTGAATAGTTCACCAAAGCACACTGAATGTTTGCTTTTTAACGGAAGTCATGGGAAATAAAAGAAGACTAAAAGGCAATTGGCTGTTTCTTTTGGCAGGGACCGTTTGTAGCAGCTTTTGCTTCATCAAACCTAGGAGACGTGTCCCCCAATATTCTTGGCCCACGCTGTGTCAACACGGGAGAGTCCTGTGATAACTCCAACAGCACTTGTCCCATTGGTGGGGTAGGTAATTATGACAGGAAATCTTTGTTTTTGCATCTCATGTATCTTTTATGTTTAAATATTCATTATTAATTTACAAATATGTTTTCCTCAAGTATACTCTGACCTACTTACCTCTATCACCTGCTCTTCTCAAAAGCTCTTCTACTAAATTTTAATTAGGTAAAATTGTAATTTTCCATATGATTTGTGAAGTTTTTTGAATGGTGAGACAATTTAGTAAATGCCACAGATTAAATAATCCTTCCCCAAACTTGGACAGCCTGAAACATTTTGCCTTGGCGTTTCTGCAGGCACAAGTTAGTGCCCAAAACTACCTGCCTAAGATATTTCTTATTGATTAGAAAGTCTTTAGACTTTTTTAAAAAACAGTATAAGGTCAATTTTTTTCTTTTAAAACTGCAAAAATCTTGCTGTCAAAACTCAACATGAAAGTATAGAGAATAGTAAAAAGTGAAAATCCCCTCTCCCCTTTCCAGAAGTTACCTATGTAATGTCTTCCTATGTATTTGTGCAGTCATGATCATTTTATAACTTATTTATTGATTTTTTTTATTGAGCCAGCATTTTAGTTTTCTACCCAATTTGTCTTAAAAACCTTTTTATTGACTATATTTAGGTCTCTGTGGTAAGTTTCAAAGATAAATGAGGCTGTACCATCATTTATGTAACTGCTTCTCCCCTCCCTCAAGCTCATTTAGATTTTTCAGGTGCTCGTTTCTGGGTTCTTACTCTCTGTAAAGTCAAAGCTCTTATTCTTGGTATGAAAGTCAAAGATTGCGAGTAAGAGTTTCACCTTAGGCCAAATTCTTAAAAGTGAGTTTGCTGTCAAAGGGAAAGGACCTCTGCCGTATGCTGCACGTTGTCTAAATGCTCCCTCAGCCGCACTTGCACCCGCAGCGCACGAGGGACAGTGTCCCCAGTCTCACCAACGCCAGGGCTGCCAGTCTTTCTGTTTTTACCAACCCAACATGCAGCTTAAACTTACATGTAATTTTTCATGAGATTGAACATACTTTCATGTCGAGGGCTATTTACATTTCTTTTTTTACCTATTTCATCTATATTTGTATCCATTATAGTGATTTTTTTTACTTTTATTTTTTTCCAGCTTTATTGAGGTAATTTCCATAGGATAGTGTGTAATTTTAAGGTGTACAATGTGATGATTTTGATATACATATAGGATGCTTTTTACTACAAATAAGAGATAACCTAACTCAATACGGATAAATCAAAAGGCATTAATATAGATTAATTTTTTCTTATTGACTTTTTTTGTTGCTGTTAATCTGCACCTGAGGATATTTCTTCCGTTGCTTTTTCAGAGAGTGGAAGGAAGGAAGGGAAGGATGGGGAGAGAGAGGAAGAGAGAGAGAGAGACACTGATGTGAGAGAGATACATCGACTGGCTGCCTCCCGCCAAGCCCTGACCGGGAGTGGGAAGCGAACCTGCAACCCAGGTACATGCCCTTGACCGGGAATCGAACCTGAAACTCTTTGGTTTGTGGGCTGACACTCTAACCATTGAGCACACTGGCCAGGGCTCTTACTGACTTTTTAAAGTTCCTAATATCTTAAAGTCTTAGTTTGTTGTAATTAGTACAATTCCCCCTCTTCCCTGCTTGTCAGTTATCTTTCAGCCTTAATTATGTTTTGATTTTCCCCATGTGAATGTTTAGTGTTTAAGTTGTCAGATTTATTAAGCCTGTTCTATATAAATTTTAGAAGGGTCCTCCACACTCTTAAGACTTTAAAATGTATTCACTCATACTTTTAATACTTTTGAATTCATTTATTTTACTTATCTGATTAATCTCATATTTTTCTGACGTATGAAATAAGGCATGATTTACCTGAGGGTCAGCTAGTTGTTCCGATGTAATTTTAATTGAGTTTCAACTTAAGGTGATCATGAGCAAGAGCCACAGGCAAGAACAAGCAAAGAGAGGTGTGCGGCACGTGGAGAGGCCTGGCTTTAGGTTTAGCTATAATCTCGGGCAAACCCTCCAACACACCTGAGCCTCCTTTCCCTTGGTTTTGAAAGTAAGGTGCTGGACTAGATGATTTCTAAATATACTTGCTGCTCCAATTCAAGGAATAGTTTTGTTTTTCATAATCTGTAAATTGAGAGAATATCCGAGAAGAAATGCTAGAATGTGTCTTAAAAATATATTTGCTTAAAGTCACTTGTAATTTTCCATCTCTTAAAATAATCGCTCTTTTCACTGAGCACATCTCTTGTCTTGTTTTGCTGCAGTCTACCATGTGCATGGCGATGGGACCTGGGCGGAGTATGCTGGAAAGCACACAAATTATAGGGCGGATGCTGTACCAGAGAGCTACGGTGAGCCGTGTGCCCCGCCTTTCCAATTCATTTAAAATGGTTCGTGAAGATCTACTGACATTGCAAGGGTGCCGACGACTGTAAGGAAGACAGGAGCTCGAGCTGCACCTAGGAGTCTGGAGGCCTGGGTGCTGCTGCATGCAGTTAGGAAGGCCGCTTCCACAAGCCACACACATCTCTCGGCTTGGTACAGCCTCTTACTCACAGGGAGTACCTTAAAACCAAGTGATCAGGAAGACATTTCTCTTCAGCCAGAGGGCTTGTTCAGACAGTGGGATGATAGATACATTGTAAGGGTTTCAATGAACATGGTATATGTGACCAGACTGTTCCAGAATCTCAGAAATCTCTCAGGGCTTTGCCTGCCGCATCACCTAGCCATTTCTCAACTAGTCTTCTTTGATATGTCAAAGATCATCCATCTTATCTTTTCTAAACATTTTTTTTTTTTTTTTTTTTTG